TTTTTTGTACCAAGTTCTTTCCTAATCATTATGTAGAGGATATAAAGAGTAGAGTCTGAATTGAGCCTTTCCGAGTGGGTGTGGCTTTGATAGGAAGACAATAAGTGCAAGTGACAATCTAAGCTGTGGAATCCAATCCTGGCAAAGGACTTGGGTGGCAAATTATGGAGGACTCTGTAGGCAGAACAGAGTTTGATTTTATATCTGTGCAATGGAGAAGCATCAGAGTTTTTGAGAAGAAGCAGGCACATGATCAGTTTTGAGATTTTTTGGAGAACCTACATGAACACTGGTGGAAATGACAGGAGAAAACTGAGGTGGAGAATCAGGCTTTTGTGACCTTCTGGAGGTGAAGTGATGTAATGGCATGGAAGGTGGAGACGTTAGATTCAGTAACGGGCTCTTGTCAGAGGAGTAGTGGACTTTTCATCATGGCAGGTATGGGATGAATCAAAGGATGATGAGGTCTTAACAGGGTAAGATGCTGAAGAGGAATTTGAATTTGGGAGAGATTCTAAGACAGGACCTGGTGATGTGGTATGGGGAAGGTTGTTAGTTCCAAGGCTTCTAGCTTAGGGGCATGGTGGTTCCTTTCTGTAACATTCCTTGTTAGAGGAGGAATGCTGTAGGCAGAGGAGATTTGTTAAGGAGAAATAGTTCTGGCTTGGACTCGTTAAGTTTAGGATGCTGTTGGCCCTTTAGGCTATATCCAGAAGGCATGCTGAAAATAAGAGGGACGTAGGATCTGGAGATGAAAATTTGTGTAAGTGGTAGTGTGGTGTGGATGAACACAGATTCTTATTTGAGATCATAGGTTACGTGAAATTGCGTGTGTATATTATGCGTGTTTATCTCTTTAGTAGAGAATCTGTAGCGTTCAGTATATTTTCAAAGTGTTCATTATCCCAGAGAGGTTAATAAGCAGTGAGACAGAACAAAAGCGCGAAGAAGGAACCTTGGCAAGCAAGTAGTTTTAAGAGGTGGGAAAAGGAAGAGGAAGCTGAGGACTGATGAGATGTGTAAGACTTGGGGAAAAGGGAAAAATGGTATGAAAGAGAGAAATTCAAGTTGCATGTTTCATCATCTAATTAAGTATCTATGTTGGATAAATTCAGCTTGAAACATGTTCTGAATGTGACTGAGAGGTTGTGAGGTCATCTCCATAGAGATCGTAATTGAAGCCTTGAGAAGGGAGAAGATGAGAAAAAAACATTTGAGCTGAGCTGAAGGAATGCCTGACTTTAGGTGTCCAGAGCGGGCAAGCTACAGAGGAGGAGGAGGACGTGTGGTCGGAGACCAGAGACCTGGGAGTCCACGTTGTCAGCTGAGCTGGGGGACACAGTGGTCACTAGGGATCGGTAGTGAGGACTGTAGAGAGCACGGTTCAGCGGGAGGACAAGCTGTTTGGTTTGTTGACGTTCAGCTCTCCTAAAAACATAGTTTTAACCAAAATTCCATTGTGCTGACATTCCTGATGATACAGTGTCTCGTTCTGTTAAGGTGTCTGTGACTCTGGCAGGCTAGTCAGAACTGCCGTTTAGTCAGCACTTTCTGTTACTTTTGTTTTATTTTAAGCAGATATTAATCAGTCCTCTTACCCACACTGCAGGGGTGATTCCTTTCAGTAAGTGGAAATTTGAGACCCAGCGAGGTTACTTAATTTGCCCACAGATACCCAACTAGGAAGTGGTAGAGTGTCTCTGTCTGGTTCCTAAGTGATACTCAACCAAAGATCAGAGTTTAGAAAATACATGCTTTCAATAGTAGAAAATATCTATTGTCTGCTTTCTGTGTGATTTGGTTTTTTACCTTTTTACAAAAACCTTTCATGCAAGGTCATTCACTTAGAATTCATTGAGCACCAGTTCCCTGCGAGGACTCAAGGGGCGCCTGCCCTTCAGTAGCTCCTGCTGCAGACAGCGGGATGCAGTTGGGCGGGAGCACGGAAGGCCCGTGGGGAGGGCTGTGAGGGCAGAAGGCCGAGGTGGCGTGGGGCTGCCTGTGTCTGGTTTCACAAACCTTGGCGCTGGGTGTGGATGTACGTCGGGAGTTTGCCTTGAGACGTGCTCTCCAGGTAGAGCAGAATGCACATGCCAGGTCACAGAGGTCTGAGCGCGGCACATCTGGTTAGGGAAACCAGGGGTTGTCTGGGAAGGGAGGGTGTGGTTGGGCGCCTTGGGGAGAGGGCTGGAGGGGAGGCAGCTGGGATGGGTAGGTCTGAGTTCTGAAGGTCTTTGTTTTCTAAGGAGCTGGGACTTGAGTTGGTAGGTGAAAGCCACTGAAGGATGCCCTTTTCCTGCTGGCTCCTCATCAAATTTTGTGTTTCCCTTGTTGTCTCTCTTTGGCTTCCTACCTTCTGTGCTTGTTCTCTCTTCTTTCTGGTTATGTAGGGGTACTCAGTGGGTGTGATTTTCCCCCCATCTCCAGGGGCATTTTGACATGTATGTGGATTTTGTTCTGCTTTTTGTTGTTACGTTGATTGGAGGTGTTATTGGACTTCAGTGTGCATGTGGTGGAGGTGGATGTTTCCAATGACCCGCATGCAGTGCACATGCGGCAGTCAGTCCCTGCACCGGAGGAGCGTCCTGTTAAGATGCCAGTGGTGTGTTCTCCTCCAGCCCATCCCCAAGAATGGATGGGCCCTGGGCAGGTCCTGCCTCCCTCTGAGATTCATCTCCTCCATGACCTTGCCCTTGTTACTCTCTGCTCTAGCCCTCCCCCAATCCCTCCCCAGAACTTTGCTGGGTTTTGGTACCACATGTTTGAAAGGGAGGACCAGCAGTAGTATAAATCCTTTACAGACACTCCTGACCAGATTCTTAGTTATGCTGGTTTAACTGTTAATGTAACTTTTAATAAAAAAAAGTCTCTTGTATGGTTTTTGGAGCTCAAAAGACGTGAGAAGACCATCTCACATGAGCAACGGAACATCCAGAGTTTCTGAACAGTTTCGTGTGCAAGTAAAATGCAGATAGAATTCATTTTGGTGTCAGTAACATCCCTAATAGTGCGCTCCTGGTGGTGGCTGTAATTGGCTATAATATACATGCCATTCTGCTGAATTTAATTTGTATGTTCTCAGTTCTCAAGCATAAGTAAAAAGGTGTTTTTGAAAGGCATCCAAGTTGAGTTTTCCAGGAACTCTGTATAGTTTATTCCTCACCTTACTCGCGGTAAGATACCTGCTAAGTAGGAAACAACCAAATTCCCCGACAGACATCTCCAGCTACCCGACCCCGCGTCCAGCCTGCTCTGCCCGCCCCCCCCGCCTGATCCTGAGATGCTCTTTCTTCCTTTTTGCTTCCGTTTTCTCTTTCACTTCTTAGGGCTCCCATACATTGGAAAGCCAACAGGATGTTCTCCAAGTTCTCTCTCAGGTGCACAGTCTTAGGGCAGGCTCTGGGCTCTGAAGCCGGCCGTGGCTGGTGGGAGCTGGGGGTGGGGTGTAGGGGTGAGGTCTGCATGGACTTCACCATGACCAGCTGACTAGCATTAGTTGCAAGCTTGCCTTAGGTGCTATGGTTTCAAACTCATTTTCATATTCACCTTTGAGGGTTTTTTTGTTTTTGTTTTTTTGTTTTTTAGTATACAGATAAGGAAACTGGGTCTCAGGTAACTTGTCTAGGGTTCAGAGCCAGTAAATGTACAGCAGAACTGAGATTTGTGTAGACCTCAAAACGAGTAGTGTCTTTTCCCCTGAACTACTATAGACTGCTGTGTTACAGCGAGTTACCTGGAAACGTGCTTCCTGCAGCCTGGGTTCCTGAGTTTGTTGGCACCAAGGTATAAAATGATGATTGTCATGACCAGCTTGGGCCTGTTGTGGAGATGCAAGTGTTTTCACCAACACTTGCTATTTCTTGTCTTTTTGTTGTTGTTTTGTTCTTTGTTTTCATTGAACTCAAAATAGCTAGTAACAACAACAGCTAAAAATACCTCCAACATTTGATTCGTCAGTCATTTTTGGTCGATGACATTTGATTCTTTAGTTCCTGCTTGTTTCCATCATGGAGTAACACGTCTATCAAAATATATCTGAGAGTTTGCAGCAAGCTTTAAACCTGTGTATCTACCCAAAACCATGATTTAGTTGTTAATTTTAAATGTAAATTTTTTATGCCACACAGAAGCTTATTAAACTAATAATCATAAATAAGCTAGCTACTAGTTTTCAAGAAAATGCCCAAATACAGCACATACATATAAGTTGCATATATCCTTTCATCTTTTACTACTCATATGAGTGTAAAATGTACAGTGGAGTTACATCATAAAGACATTTAATTTACATTAATTCAATATGTCATGTCAGTGAAAAGGAAATAATGAGGAGTAAGGCAAATAACAATAAAGCCATGGCTAGAAGAAGCTGAAACAAGTTTCAAAGGCGCAGCCAAGGAAATCGATACCTGCTAAATTAACCCAAACTCTCTGACATACCGCTCTGAGTGGTGAAATTCACAGCCCCAGCTTGTCTTTTTAATAATAGCCATTCTGACAGGTGGAGGTGATATGTCATTGTGGTTTTGATTTGCATTTTCCTGATGATTAATGATAACAATTAGTCTGTTAGTCATTTGTACGTCTTCTTGGGAAAAGTACCTACTGAGGTCTTCTGTGCAATTTTAAAATCAGATTGCTTTTATTTTGCTCTTGAATTTATGAGTTCCTTACTTATTTTGATATTAACCACTTATCTGATAGATGGTTTGCAAAGATATCCTTCCATTCCATAGGTTGCCTTTTCATTTTGTTGATTGTATCTTTTTTTTTAACATTTTTTATTGATTTATAATCATTTTACAATGTTGTGTCAAATTCCAGTGTTCATAATTTTTCAGTCATTCATGGACATATACATACCCATTGTCACATTTTGTTCTGAGTTATCATAACACTTACTGTATCTGTTGTGCATCATTCTTTTAGTCTATTGTAGCCCCACTTATTATTTGCTTTTGGATGGAATTTCACAGTGCTGGCCTCTTGACAGTTGAAGTATCTTTTTAAGATCAGTACTTTAAGGCTTAAAATCCTTTTTATGATTTAAGGGGTCTCGTTTACATTTAAAGTGATACCCTAGGATACGTTTCACAGCGGGGCGTGTTTCCAGATCTTGGCAAAGGCCTCAGAGAAAGAGCTTTTCCTAACAGATGAGTGAGCTGGAGAGAGCAAAGCTGACACTTATCCCTGTTTTACTTTGGACCAGGATAGGTGGGCAGCAGAACAGTGTGGTCCTGCAGAAGCTGAAGCCTGACACTCCTTACACCATCACCCTGTCCTCCCTGTGTTGTGATGTGGAAGGAGGTCGGATGACAGGAAGAGGCGAGACCAGTAAGTGAACCTGGACTCTTGTGGCTTTTTTAGGAACCATCATGGTGATGGAATCACATCTTCCACTGGAAACACTGGGGTGACACAGAGGTTTGCTCAAGTTTTAAAATGCATGTTAATGCTCTTTTTTTCTTTTTTTTCTTTTTGTTTCTGTTGAGGGTGGGGGGTAATTAGGTTTTATTTATTTTTTAGTGGAGGTACTGGGGATTGAACCCAGGACTTCGTGCACACACTAAGCATACACTGTAGCCCTGAGCTATACCCTCCTCCCAAAGATCTAAATTGCTTTTAATATCCTTACTGGAGTTACCTGTCTCTGGTCTTGGAGAAAGGTGTTTATTACCTTCTAGGATAACACAGACAATCGAACTATGCTCTGAGGCCAAGATACCTTGTGGAGGGATGAGACATGAACCTGATGATCAAATTTTTTCTTTATTCACTACTTCAACAGGTATTTGTGGGGTGCCTACTAAAGGGATCCTGTGTTCTAGAGTTCCCGGGACCCATCAGTAAACCTGGGCTTCGTGTGTGCTTGGTTTTCAGGGTCATGTGTGGTGTGCTTTCTGTGCATTTCAGAACCTTTGAATACCATGAGGAACCTTGGTGTACGAGCCTTCCACCAGCACTTTGTTCGCTGGGAGCACACAGAGCAAAATCCTCATCAATACAAGCTCTTCTGTGCACCCACAGCAGGTGGTCTGGAGGAACTGGTCACTATTTCCTGTAGGGAAAAGTGTGTGTTAGTTTCAGTTGTAGATTGCAAAGTGAAGATCAAGAGTTAACTAGTGTACCATAGCACTGAAGGAGTTCATGTTCCTTCTGTAGAACTTGACGGAGGGTAGTCGGTTGGGGCCTCAGTGCCTGGGTGATGGGGTCTTTGGGGGTACTGGGACTGGGGGATCAAATCATTCCAGGGGCTTTTCAAGAAGAAGCTGGGCATGTGCAGAGAGGCCTTCATCAACTCTTAGAACAGTTTGTATGGGGCCACATCCTTAGGTCCCAATAGCACAAAAGCTTCTTGACTTGGTCTTCAGTTAGTATTTTGAGTGTTTGGTTGTTCAAAGTATTATTTCTTATACAAGATTTTCCAATCAAGTACTTTACATTTTATTAAAATCTTTATTTAGGTGCCAATCCCTGGGAATACCAATGATGCCGTTCTTAGGAATCTGCAGCCGGATGCCCCAGACAGCGTTACAGTGGTTCCCCTTTATCCTGAGGGTGATGGAGGGCATACACCAGACACTGGAAGGACATGGAAGTAAGAAGGCAAATTCAGCGTTTTCATGATGCATTTTGCTTTTTAGTATAGCGTAAACTTTAAAGTAGAAAGAAAATTTGGGAAATACATAATGATGGAATAAAAATGTAACAATTACATATAGTTTTACCTTCCAACCCCCACCAATTGTTAATATTTTAGTGTATGAAATAAAAGTGACATTCTTCTGAAGTGGTAACTTCAGGATTTCTAAATGTGTTTACAGTTATCAGTATTCTCTGTCACTGACAAAAGTTCATGAGCTTTGCTTTGTGCTTAATAAATTTGTACGAAGCAATGTCTTGTCACTGGCTTTCAGTGTCGGTTGTTGAAATCTGCTGGTCGTGTTACTTGATAGCACATTTCTCTGCTGAAGTGCTTTTTGGCATTGAAAACCTCTGTGCTTTCATTTGCTATTAACATGTTGAGAAACCAGCTTTTAGTGGTTTTACAATTCTTTGTAGTATTGTTTAAAGGCTTTGGTGCATACCTCTGAATTTTTTTTTTGGCTTAAAAATATACGTGCTGATGGCTCAAAGAAAGCAAGTGTGGATGACTTCTTTTGGCAAAAGATTAGTGGTCTAGAAAAATGATGTTATTCCTTAAGTGGAGTTTGGAGATAATACATGGATGTAATTTGCATGTTTTTCTAAGTCCCTATTGGGGCAGTTAATTGAGAACTGAGTGTATCTTTGATTTTTCCC